TGATCACTTGGAAAGAGACAAGCTTGACGCCGTTTCTTGTCAGTGTTTTTAATGTATTTTTCTTTCACGAATCACGAATCAGACTATGCGGGCAAGGGCGATAAAGGGGGCTTTTTAGACGATTAGGGAGACGAAGCTGGATCCATTTCCAGTTGGCGCTATGCAAGCCAAGTGCCTAATATCGCCCCATTTCCCGAGCTCGATATCCTTGAGGGAAACTAACCGATTTCTGTACGTAAGTCTTCTAGAAAGGCCTAGCGGTCTGAATATATGGGGCCCGTTACAAGGTAGAGTTGCAATGAAGGGATCTCGACTGCATGGGATTGGGCCGGTTAGCAGGCTACCAGAGTGGATCACTTTTTCTCCAGACTTTTCCCAGAATGGAGTCGGATGGAGACGATCTAAAGGAAAGTGGAGTTTATCTCTCTCAGGATTCGTCGGCCGAGAAAGAACAAGGTCTTGTGATAAGGAATTGCACTGCTATTCAACCTCAAGACAATGGGGTTGCTCCACTTTTGTTGCTACACAGAAGTTACCCTGGAGATACCCACGCGATATGCATATGATAACACCCTGTTCTCGTGTGCAACCCAAGCCCCGTATCGCGTGGGGGCCTGGGGCCCCAGAATTGATAAGCTAGCATAGGCGAAAATCGGCAATGCTAGAAGGCTCTAACATAAGACTCTGGTCATTTCTCCCGGACTTGAGGTTTCAACGTGCACAAGATGTCGAATGAAACAGTCGAAGAAGGGCATGTTGCCACAGGCATCGAGCAAAATGAAAACCGCTCGACCTTGTACAAGATCTGGACGGATTCTTGGTTCCAGATCATCTTGATCAGTTTCATCTGCTTCTGCTGTCCTGGAGTGAGTTTAAAGAAAATGTTATTATAAAAAATCACGAACTGACAATAGTATTAGATGTACAATGCCCTCAGCGGTCTTGGTGGTTCAGGGCAAGTTGACCAGACCGTTGCTGCCAATGCCAGTGTAGCTCTTTTGGCTTGTACTGCGGGAACTGCCCTTTTCATTGTCGGTCCCATCTTCGATCGTGTTGGACCTAGAGTTTGTCTCTTGCTTGGAGGATGGACCTACGCATTATACTCCGGTAGTCTTTTGTGTTTCAACGGTATGTTTAGCTGGTAGGCCACAGTAAGTTGTATACACAGCTAATGTGTACTCCAACAGCAACGGGCAACGGTGGATTCGTGATTGCCTCAGGTGCCATTCTCGGTGTGGGTGCATCGTTCTTGTGGGTAGCACAGGGTGCGATCATGACGACCTATGTGCCCGAGTCACAAAAGGGTCGCGCAATCGCAGCCTTCTGGATTATCTTCAATCTCGGCGGTGGCGTTGGATCTCTCGCTAGCTTCGGCCTCAACTTTAAATCGACGAGCGGAACTGTCAGTGATGCCACATACATTGCCTTGCTTACCATCATGGCCTTCGGGTGGGTACTGGGAGTGCTCATTTGCCCGCCATCGTATGTTAGAGTTGCCCAGATGCAGGTCACACCGGAGAACGAGAAGAACTTCCGTCAGATTATTCGCCATTCCCTGCAGACTATTTGTCACTGGCGAGTGTTGTGCATGCTGCCCCTCTTCTTCTCGGCTAATGTGTTCTACTCCTACCAGCAGAATGCTGTGAACGGTATGAACTTCAATATCCGGACGCGTTCGCTTAACGGTTCGCTTTATTGGATTGCGCAGATGCTGGGCGGTCTTGTCATGGGTCTTATTCTCGATATCCCCGGTGTCAGCAGACCCAATCGCGCTCGTATCGCTTGGGTATTCTTGTTCGTCACTGGAATGGTCATTTGGGGTGGCGGTTATAAGTTCCAAGTGTGGTCTGATGTCCGTCTGGAGCAGGGCCTGAAGCAGGATATCGATTATACAAATTCTGATATCTCAGTGGGCCCGATGTTCCTCTACATCTTCTATGGTGCCTATGATGCGTTGTGGCAATCATTCTGCTACTGGCTCGTGGGTGCCCAGTCCAATTCCCCGGCCGCGGCTGCCGTTCTGGTTGGAGCGTACAAGACCTTCCAGAGCACCGGCGGTGCAATGGCGTGGCGTATCAATGCCATGGGGAAACCCGCGATGACCCAATTCGCTATGAACTGGGGGCTTTGCATGGGCTCGTTGGTTATCGCCATCCCAACTGTATTAGCCATCACTCTGACTAGTGACAAAGAAACTCCCGCAGCGGAGAAGGACTTCCCTGAGATGGAGGAGTCTCGAGAGGTGGTGAAGTCTTGATTCTTTTGTATATCAACCTCTGGTCAGGGGAAAGTGCGGAATACTTGCCGTCGAAGAAAGATATGTAAAGTAGAAGAATACAGAAACCTTGCAAATTTGACGCTGCAGAGCAGCTTGTTCGGATTGAGTCAAGATTCGGGTGATCGTAGACCACGATTAGGGATGCATGATTAGGAATATATACACGACATGTCCCAACCGAAAATTAAAGATCATTGTGTTGATAAATTCCGTCTCTTGGCGGTTGAGAGGTCCTCCAATTCAGCTTACTTGATGCACTTTTTCAGCACAGCGGTTTCCAGCAGCAACTTAGTGTACTGGCGATGTGCCCAGGCGATCTTTTCATCCATGGGCGCGCCTTCCGCCTTTCCGAGACCCTGGTAGAAACAGCTCTTCAGACTGAATTCGGCCAAGCCTTGGTCCCGCTTGATCACAGCAGCGATTTCGAAGAGGCCGTCGGAGGGACGGACATCACGGATGCGTGGGGAGTCACCGCAGCGAACAACAATACGGTCTTCGGTCTTCTCGACGACTTCAAAGTGGTCGGTGACAATGGTTCCTACTTCGTATTTGTTTGAGAGGAGATCGGATCGGTCCCAGAGGTGGTCGGCAGTCTCGGGGCCACGGTACTTTCGTTCAAGAATGGCTCGCTGGGGAATGTATCCTAGAGAGAAATCGAAGTTAGGGTATGTTGCACTGTGACGAGGCTGGTTTCCCCAATGTAGGACTTACCCATGCCACCCCAGACACCGGCACAGAACGCTTCCACCAATTTTCCCTTCTCTTCGACCAATGAGGGCTGGATCTTGTCTAGGGGAATGCGACGAACGCAGATATCATGAAGAGTTGGGTTGTTGCTCGGGTTGAACTTCTTGAAAAAGGCCGATTGGAAGATGGGATCGGAGCTGTCCATGGTCTCGAAAATGTCATTGCGCGTGGCGCCCCAGAAGACACCGACCGAGGCAATGCTGCCTGCAACGGTCGTCTTGACCAATTTGCTGAAAATACCCATGGTTGAGAATAGGAGGACAGGGGTTGGAGGTAGGTGAGAAGTAACAAGAGGGGAGCGAGTGCTTGGGAGCGAGAGCTCTCGGGGAAAGCTCCGACTACCAAGACGCAAGACCACGGCCTTAGCCCCCACTCCGCATTTCACCGACTTCAGCTATACCACGCAACCTTGTACACACAGATACTTTGAATAATACGGGTTTCTATTTTTCAATCTATTGAAAGGCAATTCAAATTTAATTTTGGTACTCAAGTTCAAAGCTTATAGAAGTTGTTTATATTAGCATGTCGTGCGAACAAGGCCAAGTGGGTGTAAATGGTAGCACAGAGGTTTGGCCCCAGGACTAAGCTTACTTTTCGCTACCTGAGAGCTCGATACATGAAACAAACTTGCCATCGTACGTGGGATCTTCCGTCACTGGGCTATCGGATGTCGGTATTGAGATAAGGGCATTTTGGGACTCAAGCCCATTGTTCGAAACGTGCGATCCTGTCAAGACATTAGTACCTCCGGGGGCCATATTCCTAGTTCGACATGTAACAAAAGAAATCACAGGCGAGTTCTATTGTACATTGTGCGTTTATAATAACTGGGAATGCTGGCATATTTCACCATACTCTACATAACCGAGATTTATAATTGGCAGTCTATAGTTATAGTCCGTACCAGGTACTCAACTATACTCAAATATATGCCTTACCTAACTCACAAACGGCGGATATAGGCGTATGCCCATAGATTAGACATGCCGACCCGTCCCGGTCCCGGTAGTATAGGGCCCGATAATTCAGTCGGAAGACTCAACCACATGTGGAGGTCCATAGACCATACAAATTCCAAGGCTCTCAACCAGATATATATCGACCACGGTTACAAAATTCTCAAATTCTCAAATTCTCAAACTCTCAAACTCTCAACCTCTCAACCTCTCAACCAGAGCTTGTCTACGGTGGAGCGTCGCCTCAATTTTCTCTGAACTACGAATCACTAGACATCCCAAATATGAAAACTAGTCAATGTTATCTCCACAAACAGTTCTCCATATTCACGGGGGTTTTTCCAAGTGCGTCTAACAGTCCCACAATGTGTCGCAACCCTGGAACCCTGGAAGTCCCACGTGCACGCCCAAACGTCGATACCAAGCTCTAATTCGCACTTCACATGGAGGTGCGAGATATAACCTTGGAATGAATCGAAACATGTAAACCGATGATCGGCAATCTAGTGCATTTTACAATTTTGCGACTGTTTTTACCGTTGGTCGTGGCCCATGGCTACCACGGACATACCCCAGGACACCGCAACCGAGACCCCAATTCGGGCAATTGATCAACATAAAAACAGCAATCAAGCTTATCACCCAGGGCTGGAATATCGTGAACCTTTCGAGAATAGATCTAGCCGATGACGAGATCTGGCGATCACCATACTCAACCAGTCAACGGCTGTTCCCAAGACAAGGAACAAAAGCATTGAGGAACAGGCCCACCGTATACAGAGACAAGCAGTCGTTGTTCGCTCTGGAGCGTCGATGGTGTGCTACGGCCGACAAACGATATAAAATCCCCGGCATTCCTCTGTTCAATTCTTCTCATCAAGCAGATCTAGTATCCTTCTTGTATACCAATTTTTATCTTTATTTCATATAAACTTCCCTCGCTGTGCGAGCTTCATTGATCAGCAATCTTTCATTTCTTCAATATTTCCAAAACTTCTTTTCAACCCCTTTGCACAATGAAGACCTCATTTGCCGCCCTTGCTCTCGCTCTCTCCGGCTCTGCCGTGGGTGCCCCGGTCTCTAACGGTACTCACATTGCATCCAACTCATCTTCTGTGTCGAATCCTGTTCATCTGTCGACCAAGTTCGCTGCCTCCAGCACTGCCACTCCATCTTCTGGATCCAGCCCTTTGACCTCGGCGCCTATCCCTAGCGGCAGTGCGGTAAAGCGCGGAGAGGCCATCTCCATCCCGACGGACCTCCCGTCACTGGCTTCTGATGCCCAGTCAGTGGCTGCATCCCTCGCTTCTCTCGGTGCTGGCGCCCAGAAGCGTGGTGAGTCTTTGTCGATTCCCACCGATCTTCCGTCTCTACTAGAAGATGCCCAGTCCATCGGTAGCGCTATTGCCTCTGCTGGTGCCCAGAAGCGTGGCGAGTCACTTTCCATCCCTACCGATCTCCCCTCATTGGTTTCCGATGCCCAGTCGGCCGCAGCTGCGCTTGCCTCCGCTGGAGCCCAGAAGCGTGGCGAGTCTCTGTCGATTCCCACCGACCTTCCATCTCTGCTGGCTGATGCTGAGTCTATCGGAAGTGCTATTGCCTCTGCGGGTGCCCAGAAACGCGCCGCCGAGACTCTTCCTCTCCTGAACCCCGCTGGTACTCCTACTCCTACCGCTTCCTTTGGAACTGGCTTCCCTAAGCCTTCCAGCAGTCTTTTCGCTTCCTCCTCTGTGTCTGCTTTCTCTTCTGGTGTTGCTTCTCCTTCTGGCTCTGCTTCTTCCTCCGGTCTTACATCGTAATTTGCCGTCCTCTGATTTGAATGCTGGTCATTTCATTTCAGCGACTGCCAGTTACGTGAGCAGTATAACTTGACCGTTTTCCATGCTCGAAAGTATGGGTCTTTCCTGGACATTGTTCCGAATCATCGCTCGTTAATTGTCGCTCGTTAATCGTCACTCGTTTGAATTGGCAATAAATGCTTTGTTTTGATGTTACTGCTGGATCGCACCAGAATGTATTAACAGACGATCAATTGAAATCTCACTAGAATCTATCATCACACGATATAATCCCAGACTCATAGGATTCTCAGGTCAATAATATAGACGTTTCAATTTAAACGGAATACGAAACAGGTACTCCACATCGCGTGTTGTAGTCAGTCGATCGGGCTCTTGGAGGATTGCTCCGCCCCACGTGCGGGTACCGGCACAGACAGCACAGCCACAACAAAATCGATTCTCCCTCTTCTCCTTCGTCATGTCCCAGATCCATCTCGTGTTCTTGGCTTTGGCCTGTTAGATCTTTTCATCCGGGTTTTCAGGCTTTACTAGTGGTCTCTTTTCGCTTTGTCTGCTTAACCCTTACTCTCTCACACCCTTTGTTGGAATCATGGCCCGTTGTGTATTCATCAGAGTTTTGTTGAGTGGTTGAAACTTGATTTGGCAATGCGCTTCGATTGTATCAAATACATTGTCCGCCTTCGGGACCTCATCCAGCATGTCCGGTAGTGATGGGGTAGGGCGCTGGGCTCGACTTACTGGTGAGTGGTGGTTCTCGTCTGACACCCCTTCCCCCTTTTCCTATTGCCGTTTTCCTATTGCCAGTTCACCCTCGCGGGGTATACGAGCATACGAGCATACGAGCATACGAGTATTCGCTAATCGAGATGTGAATTAGGTCGTTTTGCCCCGTTTCGTTTGCCGCAATTCCGCCGTCAACCTCGAGGTTGGCGCCCAGTGGCTCTGCGCCCGCCATACCTCATCTCCCTGATATGTTTGATGTTAACAATGCTCCTGACCCTGGAAGGGTTGCGGCAGTATAGCGATCGCCAAGGGGGATTGGTCTTTTTTGACTACACAGAAGATGTCAACGACGCACAATCTTTCGCCTACAATTACCTCCCTATCATCATCTCCCTCATACTCGTCTTGGTTTGGACTGTGACCGATTTCGATGTCCTCCGCCTGGAACCATATTTTCAGTTGTCCCGACCCGAGGGAGCGCCGGCGACAGTTCTTTTCATCAACTACAACTTCGGCCAAACCGTTCTCACCCCGATCAATGCCGCAATCCGCCGTCACTGGGTCGTGTTCTGGGTTTCCTTTGTCACACTCTCAATCCGAATGATTCTTCCCGCTCTACAGAGTACGGTATTTGAGCTACGCGAGGTGACGGTAGTCCACGACAGTACTATACAAAGCTGGTCAGACCTGGTGGATTTGGACACACAAGCGAACTTGATCTCACTGCAAGCCGATGTTTTCCACGACGTGTTTTCCTCCAATGAGCTATTATCCCGGTCCCGATCCGCCAACTATGCCATCGCGCCTGTGGAGATACCCGATGGCGAGCAAGACGACAGTGTAGTGTGGACTGTTGACCAGACGATATATTGGGCAAAACTTTCCTGCAAGAATGTTTTTGTTGGGGACACGCTCACCGTTTCTATCAATGAACCCGAGGGGCCATACCCAACAATTTCGTGGAACGCCAGTAGTATTGATTTGGTTGATGTTTACGGAGGCGACGAAAAATGTGTCCTTGATTTTCAATACGAGAGTGTCTTCTTCCCTGGCACCGATTACCTACAAATACGGTATTGGGAGCCGATGATCAGTTCTGCAGCCAAAGAAGAAGGATTTCCGAACCAAACCCAGGCCTTCACGGAACTCGGCTGCGATCCATATGATCTATATGGTATGCTCATCGGTGTTAATATTACCAGCCCAAGCGCATCTTTGACCTCGACCTCAACCTCGACCGAGTACTCCGCGTCTGGTACGGCTTTTGCCTGTGATATAATTTATCACAAAGCGGAGGCTCGCGTGACTATGCACTCCAACAGCTCCATAATATCTATCAAAGTCAATCGAGCCACAATCCGCGAGCTCACAAAATCCGAGTTCAATGTTGATCATTTCCAAGCTCTGCTCTCTCAACGTGCTCCGTATACCAGTGACATGCTCTTCATCAGTGAAAATGCTACCACGGGGGCTCGCACAGTGACTGAACTCCCTATCATCAGCCAGGACTTAGGAGATATCCAACCTGTGCTGGTGCTCGACACATCGACCGTCATGACAGAGGATGAATTCGAATCCAAGATTGCGCGGGACGTCAAGCAGACTTTCGTACTCACACTCGGTCGCATGTTTGATCCAGATAGTGCACCTAGGACTCTCGCCGCCCAACGCACGTCGAACAAAGTCGCTATCGCTATCGTTGACTTTGCGGCTCTTTGTTCTGAGCTCATTCTTGCCCTAGCCACTTTGACTACAGTCTACCTCCTTTACATGTATAATTCGCGTGAACTGTTTCTCCAAAGTGACCCTGGGTCCATTGGTGCCATGTGCAGTATTGTCGCCGACATTTTTCACCCATCCAACGTCCTCGGTGAGCCAGTGGCGGAATTTCATCAATTCTCTACTCGGCAACTTCGTCGTATCTTCAAAAATGCACGGTGTTATTGGCGACCAGGACCTTCTGGCAACAGGCTGGATATTGTCGCTGACGATGGTTTGTACCACCTTGGAGTGCTCATCTTCGAAAATTATAACTGACTGTATCATCAGGCTCCCCTGTCCAGCTCGGCGAGAACCTCAAAACCCGTGTTGATCCGATGCCTCACTTCCTCGTAATCCCTTTCTTTCTCGTTGAATTCTTGGCGCTAGCTGGTGTCATTATCCTCATCGTACTAGTGGTCTCATCTTTGCTTCGAAATGGCCGCTTTCGCGACATGACCCAATCCGACTCGAGCGTGTTCCAGGTTATCCTTTCCGTCCTACCCTCCGTCGTTGCATCGTCTGTAGGGGCTCTATGTACATCTATTCACCGAAACCTCAGTGTTTTGGAGCCCTGGGTCCACCTCCAACGCGGCAACGCCTCGGCAAGGACGTCATTGTCATTGAACTACTCGTCCCAAAGTCCGCTCGCCATTTTCTTCAAAGCTGTTCGCAACCGGCAACCTTTGCTGTGTCTTGTATCAATTGCGTGCGTCATGAACATGGCTTTGACTGTCGTGGCAGGTGCGCTCTTCACTCAAGAATTGGCAAGCTCAACACTGGAGACCAGCGATTTGTCAATGAACTATAGCCAGTCTGTGTTTTGGCAGACCGACTTCGCTGCAGAATTCACTGAGTATGATTTGATTCAGAGCAGCATCAGCAGCGGATCCCCCATGCTCTCCTGGACTAGCTCAGATCAGTCTTTTGTCCCATTACACGTGAGCCATCGCAACCCAGACGTGACTTACAGCGCCTCAACACTAGGGGTTGGAGCTGAGCTGAAGTGTCAACCCCTTTCATCGGATGATCTTGTCTACGATCAACTTAATGGTTATCAATATTGGCGATATGCACTGTTTGACAATTCCTCCATGGAATGCATGGCACGCATGCCACCCTTAAAAAGCAAACAGGAAGGAATCTCACTATCTATCCACTTTTTGTCCCCAGATGACACCGAGGAATCGGACATCTGCCAGACGTCGACTGTTCTAGTTGTCGGCCGTTGGGATTATTTGCCGAACACCCCAGTCACTGATAACAACTCAATTGCATTGCACTGTGAACCCCAGGCGAGATTACAAAATTATTCAATCTCTTTCGACCAGAAAGGACAGATCAGTTGGTATGACGCTCTTCCCAAAACGTCCATCACACATGGAACCATGTACGACAATGCAACCGTTAGTCTCGGTCAGTTCAACAAAGTCTTTGCGGCCATCCCTAGCAGTTTTGTGGGCAATACTTCCATGCAGAATGGAACGTACAACGTTTCTTCCTATGATTGGGCAGGCTTCCTTGTTGCTCGTCTCTACGAACACGCGGATCCCGACTTTGACGCTCTGGACCCCGCTATTTTGACCACCATGACTGGCACTGTATATCGATTGGTCTACAGCACCTACTTCTCAATTTGGCGGGGGATCTATCTTGAACCTCTTGCTCACCCGGTCCCGGCCACAGATGCCACCATTACCCGCGTTACCTGGCGCATGGTTCCGTCGGCTCCGTCACTTGCCATCGCTCTAGCCATCATTGCCTTCGACACAATAGTCGTCCTTTTAGTGTTCGGAACACGACGCGGCCGGTTCCGGGGACCCCGAATGCCGCGCTCCATTGGAGCAATCATTCCCTGGATTTCGCACAGCCAAATGCTTCATGATTTCACCGATACACACGCCTGGAGCAGTGCAAAACGGCATGCTCATCTCGTAAGCCTGAACAAACGCTATGGCTTCCGCATGTTCATGGGTGCCGATAACCGCTGGCGGTTCGCTGTCGACCAGGAAGCAGAGATCGTCAAACCTACCGATCCCCCCGACGGCGCCCCAGAAGTGGAAGTGGACAAAACGACCACAATTCAGCTACAGGAGATACACAGTTCACCCTCTCCTCCTCTTCTTCTTCCTTCTCCACCTCTACCTCCAACCTGATGACACTGCCTATATGTGCTACGACTTTACTTTTGATTTACATACGCTATATTATGTTTCGAGGGTATATATTCATTTGAACATGGGCGCTTTTGACTTCGATAACCCCCCTGAGATAGACGGTTGGACAAGCAAGCTGGCTCTTACTTTGTTCACTTACATATTGGAAGTCATGACCGGGACTTCGCATTGGTACATTGTAAAAAATCCGAACCCGTGTGTGTGTGTTCGCTGAAACGCCTTTCTCGCATATTCTGTCTTTGGGCTTTGTATGGAGGTTGTCAATGCGGAGAGACAGTGTCTCGTATGGCACATACATGGGAAATTGACATTCATATATATGACGATACTTCGAACATCTCGCATGAGTCCTACTTCCCTATGATCGACGCCGAACAAGGTCGAGCGAGACGAAAATGGTACAGTATATTGCGCTATGCATTGGCATCCCCAGCGTAGGAAGTGGACGACCGATCCTAGTCTTGGGTACGCTGAACTACCACGGATAATTCAAATAACGCTGATATGATTTTGATTCGACTTTTGAAATCCATACACCCTTCATTTCATCTAGCTTCTATAGTGAACTGTACATTATCGAGCTGAAGCCAAATCAAATATCATATTTCTTCTACCGTGCAGCCCTGAGTCGACCATCAACCGCCCGAAGAAGAACGTAGAGTGTCTCCAAATAGGGAGCTTGGATGCCGAGTTCTCGGGATTTCCGCACTGGGAAGCCCAAGATAACATCAATCTCCATTGGCCGTCCACTTTTACAATCCGTCTGCATGCTGCTCCCAATTCCAGGCATGGCGTTTATCTTTTTCATAAGCTGGTCAATCAGACCATCCTTCAGCGGAACACCACAGCCACGGGCGACGTTAATGACCTCCTGCATCAACTGGCATGTAAAAGCCGTCGCATCTTCTGACGACTTTAACCACGACTGTGTATCCACCATAGTGAGCGTAGTCAACGAGTTCCATGCTACGTTCCAAACGACCTTCTCCCATCGCTGGGTCTGCATATCCTCACGGACCTGGAACCGTGTCTTGCCATTGCGGAGAAGATCAGCAAATGTTTCAAGTCGTTTTTGCTCGACTTGGTTTTCGACTTTTGGGTTAGGAAATAAGCCGAGCTGCATATCTTCGGACTTGGTATGCGCGACAATTCCCGGGCTTGTCTGCGTGGCTCCTACCCATGTCTGCGGAAGTTAGACGAAAGGGTAGAATTGACGATGGGAAGTGAACCCACCACACAAGTTATGATCGAGTTCTCAGGAAATTGCTTTCGGAAAGGTTCCTCGTTACCAACCCCATTCTGAATGACGACAATAGTAGTCTTGCTGTCGATGGCTGGCTGTAGTTTGGCTACTACCTCATCCTGGTCGATTGCCTTGTGAGCGCACACGATGTAGTCCACTGGTGGAATATCCGCGGCGGATTTTACCACTTGTTGCCTTGTTAGCGAAATATTTTGATTTGGATTGTGTATAGCTCACATACCTCGGTGTGGATGGAACGTATGCTGGCCGTGATTCTCGCTATTAATGGTAATTCCCTTTGGAGTTCAGATATTAATAATGGAATAGACTAATGTGCAGTAAGATACTCACCTTTGCTTTAACAGCCTCATAGTTTGAACGTGCTACGACCGTTAGCTGTACACGGTCGGAGCGACTTAGGATAAAGGCATAGAAGGAGCCAATCCTATACAAGTCAGTATAACATCGGTTTGGTGAAAGAGGTTCAACCCACGCTCCCAATCCATAAACAAGGACATCAATTTGATCTGACATTTTGTGAGGACCAAGTATGCATATCCAATACACGGACTGAATGGTGTTCCTTTTGACAGTCGACTTCCAAGGTTCCCCGCATCGGAGGATGGCCGCGTGGGGGTGGACTCTTCACGGAGAAATGGTGGAGAATTGGGATGATGGGGATGTAGTACTCTTGGGAGTTTGTATTCAAGTGAAAGAAGCTGGTAAGGTAGTGATTCAATCTATAGTTTCACGCTGGCTATCAAATGTTTCTCCAAACGACTAGTATTCACCATTTCGGGTGTCAACTCTTCAAGACTGGTAACTCCTAGAAAGACCATGTTTGTTTCGATCTCCTGTCGTAGGATATCGATCATCTGTCGTACCCCATTCTCTCCATATCCGGACAAGCTGAACAGAAATGGTCTACCCAATCCGACAGCTGTCGCTCCGAGCGCAACAGCCTTGAGTACGTCTGTTCCTCGGCGAATGCCACCATCAAGGAAGATCTGCATCTTGCTCTCAATCAAGTGAGGCGCAAACTTTCGAATCTCCAGTAGAGTCAGAAGGGGTGATTGTGTCCTTTTTATATAAGTGAGTATATCTCGCGTGGGGAATGGGCCATAGTTCGGAGATCTCATACGTGTCTTGTGAGCGTCCTCCGTGGTTTGAGAGTACAATGCCTTGCACTCCATGCTGGTAGGCAAGCACGGCATCCTCCACACATTGGATTCCCTTGATAACAACAGGGAGATCTGTCAGTTGGCGAAGCCAGGTGAGAATCTCCCAATCAATAAATGGAGATATTGAGCTGGCCATGATCTTCGCTACACCCTTTCCTACCCCGGTATGATCGACATCCTGAAATAAATTAGCAAATGAACTTAAAATGCAACAAAATCTATCCGGGCAAACCACGTACCATGACCGTCGAGTTGAGCCGTTCGTCCATCTCACGTTTCCCCACTACGGGGGAGTCGACCGTAACCCAAATAGCACCAGCACCAGCTCTTTCAGCTCGACGTACAGTCTCAATAGACTTCTGAATGTCTTTGTTCACATATAGTTGTTGGAAGATAGGCTGGTTTGCTGAGATGCGACTCTTCATGACTTGTTCAATTGTCATGCTGGATCCGTTTGCGAGAACTTGGACCAGTCCTTCCTTACCTGCTGCTGCAGCTAGCGCACACTCGCCCTCTGGATGGGCAAGCTTTGTAAGGCCCACTGGAGATATATACACCGGGAGCGAAGTAGAACGCCCTAGGATTGCAGTGGCTGTATTCACAGCGGGAATCTTTCGTAGGATACGTGGACGAAGAGAAATCTTTTGATATGCCAAGGCATTATTCCGTTTACTAATCTCGTCATCAGCGCCAGACGAGTAATAGGCCCATGTTGTGGCACGCAGGCTTTGATGAGCAACTTTTTCAAAATCATGCAAATTGATCAGACTTTGCAACGGCGGAGGGCTGTCACCGTCCGGCTTTGGTTGCTTCTCATTCATGGTATTCAGTTTATCTTTTCGCTTGTCCAATTCGGCGGGATCAACGTAGCCTTGGAGCGCAGTCTCAGGGAGTGCTTCGCTCAACAACTCCAGCGAGTGAACAGAGTCGAAATCTTCAGTTGCGTCTTTACCCGCACATCGCAAAATCACGGCTGCACCCCCTGGGTGGGAGTCCAAAAATTCTACCGAAGTCAGCCTGAGGTCGCAGCATCTGCGGGTATTGCGAGTCTCCTACCTGTGACATCGTAGACAGCCCCATGGATCGCGACCCAACACGATTTCTGATTGTTATGTCGGTTGATTTCCTGGAGAGTGAGTTTCATGTTGGATTATTACTCTAATTTGGAAACTGCAGCTGGCAGATTCTCATCATAAAATGTCGACCACAATTCTATCATGTCCAACCCCAATGGCGATCCCGGGATCCATCCGGGCGTGGGGGTTCACAGCCCCATCCGCAGATCTCGAGACGGGGCAATTTCTCCGGGGGCTTTCGACCCACTGCCTCCCTTGTAGGAATTCTGGGATTCGGCGGAGGCAACTCACGCTCTCGTCCTATAGACGAGGAGCTCAACTTGATTGGACATTTCAAGAGGAACCAGTGGGCTGAATTGTATTCTTGAGGAGAATGGCTGTGTGGGCCCTTCAGGGAATTTGAGAGGCTTTCGGTATGTATGAACATGTCTACTCAATATATAAACTATGCTTGGAGAAATCCCTTCATTCGGAGTCATTATTAACGCCTGCGCCATGGCTCAACTATAGTAACCAAGTCACCCTAGCCACACTACTTATGAAAATGAAAAGAAAATTAAACTAAGCTGGACCATCTAAAATACTACTCACCAGAGACACCGGTGAATGAAGTCGTTAATTGCCGTTGACGAACACGGGACCCGAGCAACGCGCTTCAGAGCAGGCTGTGTTAGAATACTCATAACAGATTTCACTGTTAGCCAAGAGGTATTCGTTTGTGCATAAAGGTTTTACATTGCCTTCTTTGTCATTATGTCGGCCGTTTCATTTTGCTTGGCACTTCGGAAGGACCTGGGCTCAAGTGAAGTTCGATGTTGTACGGCCATAACAAAATACGACAGGCCTCTATGGTCCGTATTCTAGATATCTGAGAGCTATACACTCCGTCGACTGCCTCGCCGGCAGAGTCTCGACCAAGGTAGATTCAAGAGCAGCGGATCCAGTCCAGATGATGGTTGGTGTCTTTACCGTATATCCAAGTAAGTCGAGTTGGTTTAACATCATATTACAGAATTTATAATTGGGCTCTCTATGTCTTCTTTGATCTCACTTTCATATTCCTTGAATTATCTTCAGATGTTATGATAGCCCATCTTTCTTGCCTCGCGTGAAATGACAGTTTTCCCACCAATCAACACATCAAAGTAGAAGATGCTTATACTGAACCCGTTACTCCCTCGACGTGGGGGAGCTGACGGCAATCGGCTTAACCGCCCGGACTTCCCCCCGAGGCCCCCGCGTGGGATGCGTTTATGTTCATGTGGGGTTGGGTCGCGAACCTTCAAATATAACTTGATCATATCCCAAATTATATTGCTTTGGCTTCGGCAATATACAATACCTGATAGATTCATTCTGTAACTCACAATGGCCAAAATCAAGTCCATCGAATACTTCCGTGTCAAGCCCCGCTGGCTGTTTGTTAAAGTTACCGATGAAGAGGGACGCTTCGGTTGGGGAGAGGGTACACTGGAAGGGCATTCTCTTGCAGTGGAGGGGGCACTCGATGAAATTATCATACGCATTGTGGGATACGAAGCGGAGTATGCTTGGATCTATCGTTTTATGTCACAGCCAAAAGGCTAACCGTCCCTGGCAGCGATATTCAACACATTTGGCAGACAGTATGGCGACTTGGATTCTACAGGGGTGGACCGGTATTCATGTCAGCTCTTTCGGGGATCGACATCGCTTTGTGGGATCTGAAGGGTCGAAAGCTGGGTGTCCCGGTTCACGAGCTCCTGGGCGGAAAGGTGCGCCAGAAGGTGCAAGTTTACGCCTGGATTGGAGGTGACCGACCAAGCGATGTTAAGGCTGCAGCGTGAGTTCCGAAAACAAGAGAGCGGAGTAAAAGAATCCAAAATCTTAACAAGCTCTGTCAACAGGGAAGAACGAATCGCCCAAGGCCTCAAGTGCATCAAGATGAATGCGACTGAAGATGTCAACTGGCTCGACTCGCCTGCTGTTTTACAGTCCTGCGTGGAACGATTGAAGCAAGTTAAAGCTCTGGGTCTTGATGCCGGTCTGGACTTCCACGGTCGCTTGCACAGACCTATGGCTAAGCAGCTGGCCAAGGCGCTGGAGCCGTACCACCCTCTATTCATTGAAGAGCCTCTACTGTGCGAGCATCCCGAAGCGATCAAACAACTTTCCGAGCAGACCACAATTCCCATCGCATTTGGCGAACGCTTATACTCTAGATGGGATATTAAGAGGTTCTTGGAGGATTCATCAGTAGATGTTCTACAGCCTGATATTGCCCACGCAGGTGGTATCTCCGAAACTCTCCGTATCGCAAACATGGCTGAAGCCTACGACGTTGCTATCGCGCCTCATTGCCCTCTAGGTCCGATCGCCTTGGCAGCCTCCCTCCAAGTGGCCGTGTCGATCCCCAATTTTGTCATCCAAGAGATGTCGTTAGGCATGCACTACAATGTCGAAGCTGGAGATATCGACCTGAACAGCTACTTGGTAGATAAGACGGTCTTTGATATAAAGGAGGGATATGTGGCCGCCCCCTCCAAGCCCGGCTTGGGAATTGATATTGACGAAGACCTGGTACGGAAAATCAGCAAGGAGACAGAGCCTTGGCAACCCAAAGAGTTCTACGGACCGGACGGCTCTATTCGAGAGTGGTAATAATGATGCTATCATACCGATAGTCTTGGTATAAATGTGTGTTCCAGTGTTCAGCATACGACGCATTCACCAAAACGGAGACGAAGCAAGATCACGATTCAAATCGCTAAGATATATTATGACTTTTTCCATTGCCTTCTTTCTTTTTCATTCTTCTTCCTGGCTTTGGGTGCCAATTTGTGATATTCAATGCGAAGATGAATATTATGATGGCCGGCCTTTGATCCGTATGACATGTACGTTTCATCATCTCGATATACAATAGATGCGCGCAAGAAGTTCCCGTAACAACACGACAGGTTTAGAAAATGATGATGATAGCATCGCCAAGAGCGAGATAATTTATTCTTCTAACGAAGGACCCCTGACCTCAAATAATCCGGTGCCTGCCAAATATCTCTTCTTCTTTCTGTATTCCACTACCATATAAACAAAGACACCAGCACATAATGATCCTCCAAGCTGTCCTGGCGTTTGCGACGCTGGGACTTGCTGCCGATTATCCCGTCGTCTCCTTGTTCATTCCAAACGCCGACCCTCAATCCTTGTTGGGTGAAGTTCTGGCAGCGGTTCGTATCAATAAGAATCATCCGCGAATATTCATCTAATTGTAAATAGCAATCAGCAACAACTACATACAGCATCAATTGCCCTGTTGGTAAAACTAATAGCACAGAATGTGGTATGGGCCCTGGCCTATTTTTGACCGCAGCCCCAACAAGTGTCGAATATTTGATAAGTGCCGAATCCGACAACTTGTGCGTGTCCTCGACTATCACCCATTTCCCCCGGCTGTGATGGCTTACTCGTTGATTCAACAGATACAATCACGTTGTTTGCGACGTGACCGACCTCCCAACAGGGGCTTATACGTGTACAGACACTGTCACCGGGCAAGGGGCCGCTACACCCGGCACCAGCACCTCAACCATCGCTTGGGACCAGTTATCTCTGTTGCCGGTCACCATAACTTCAACTGCTGATTCCGTCGCAGCAACAGCGAACGGGACCACTTCTACAAGTACTAGCGAAGTTTTGTCGGGTAGCGATGCATCACCCGCTGCTGCCACGGTAGTCACTACCCCTGCGGCAGGTGTGGCCGCTGCTACAGTCGCCACTACCAGCATGTCAGGCGTGGCTGAAAGGTCAACGTCTACTAGTCTTCTACTGTCTTGTGTCGCAGTTCAAGCTCTGGCAGCATTCCTGTAGTGATTGTGCTTGATTCTCCATTGATCTACCTGGCATTCATTGCCTTGCAAGATTTCCGCGTTCCACAAAAGAGATTGCTACAAAATCTAGTTTAATAAAACTTAATATTGATTTGGAATCTAAGAACATTTTAAAGACCCGCCTACGTACTATATAGTAGGTTTGAGCTCATGGTAAAGCGATATCCTGTGATAACTTTGGAACCTACATCGGCTTAAGATGAGTAAGTACTCTTATACTTATATCCACATATCAATGATATATTGAGAGAACTACATCTCAACCCTTGTAAGGTCTGTACTCAAGCTATTCTGCACGCCGTAGAGGGACAATAGCCATGGTCGCATGCGAAACTGCAAAGACCCAGATACGAATCATCTTTGTCGATAAGAGGCATCCCACGAGTTCCGGTTGATGGTGGACGCGGGACAGCACTCCCATACTGCGTACAGGTGCAGGGTCCAGATGGACAATACCCATAGTTGCAGCAAAAGGAACACAATCCAACGTAGTTATTAGATCCTGTTCCTGCAATGCAGGTTCTACCGTCACCTTCTCCTCCTCCTCCACCACCGCCGCCGCCGCCTCCACTGCTACCACCTCCTCCACTAGTACCACCACCACCGTTTCCACCTCCCCCACTGCTGCAGCCTCCAGTTGAGGTTGGAGCTGGTGGAGTATGAGTAACGGTAACGGTGATCACAACAGTTGACGGAGCATTAGAGCATTGTCCAGGGCCTGTTGTACTCCGGGGAGGACCTGGAAAAGTGGTGCTCGTGCTTGAAGATGGAGGAGCTGGAGGCACTGTACCTAATGAGGGACTGGGTTGACAGGACTGGTCACGCAGGCCTTGTTTAAAGGCGGAGAGCCCATCCTGCAGGAGGGGATCGTTGAATCCTGCTGGAAGGGTTCCGACTAAACACCAGTTAGAAATGGTGTGCTAAACAGTGGTAATAAATCCACTTACCATATGCATTGAAGTTATACAAACCACACACGCACCCGTTAATGATCTCCTTCAAACTGGTCCCCGACAAAATAGTCTGCCCGTCACGGACGACCGCGAAACCTTGTGAGCCAACACCCATCGGCACCTCCTTTGCACTTGCACCTGCTGGTGCCTCGTAATTATACACAGTCCCACCACTGTTGATCTGCACTGTAGCTGGAGATGTAAGTAACGAGACAACGAAGACAGAATCTGCCATGGATTCCCATCCATCTGGACGACCCATGAAATAGTTTCCACTCCCATTGTTTGCTGGTACCATGCAGGTATCTGTAGAGTCGCAGTTCACCCCACGTGGTGCAGGTCGATACCAGTAGACTAACTCATCGGATGAGATATGATTATTTGGAGATGAGTCGCCTGCTTTGAATGCAGCGATGTATGGTTTTGAAATGTCCAGCCATCCATCATGTGGCCTATATTCATTCGTTAGTTGAGTTGAAGAAATGGAGATATTGGCTTTGAAAGGCCGGTTTGGATATTCTCACATGTCGTTAACCCATTTTGAGGCCCCGTCGTCAGTATGTGGTGAGTTCAAAGGACCGATGTAATGAGACTCTCCGTAGTCATTCCATGTCACAATCTCGATAAATCGCGGTTTCAACGCAAGGATCTCATTCCATCTGTTGAACCACAGGAGATCAGATGGGAAGTTCCAATTCTTGCTGTAAGAAACTTCAGGTCCGAAATGCGTGAAAAACCACGGTGATACGGCTGCTTTACTGTCAGAACCTCAATTTAGATATCAAGAGAAATGAAGACACTAACGGGCAATATAGGCCTTTCCGCCAAGAGCGTTGACATATACTCGATCCCCGTCAGCCACAGTAACATTGTGATCAGGGGTTGGTGCTTTGTTGTTCCCGTTGTTTGGCCACGCCATCCAATTCAAGAGGCCATCAACTAGCGAGATATCTGTCCCCATATCAGGGTGGAAGTTCGGTGCAAAGAAGATCGACCTTCCAACAGCGGCTCGCAAAGCTGCAACATCCATTCCATCCCCGGCAAATGATGAGACAAACACTTTGTTATCGACGAGAAGTTGTGCAGGCTTGCTAGCATACTGGGCGATCTTCTGGCCAACTGCGGTAGCCTGATCGATATGCCACCAGTTGAAATCGAATGAGAGAAAGACTTTCATATCATTGTTGCCGGCCGATTCGTATGCCAGTTGGAGTTGTTGGTCAGTGTAGGGGTCTACGCCAATGTTCAGAGCGAATGCATCAATCCCCAGAGACTTGGCACGCTTCATGTCATCATCGTAATCCGACGCACTCTTTCGATTGCTGCTGATCCCAATCTTTACATTATAAGTATACACCAAGCAAAGAGGAGGAGGTCTAGGGCATGCTTACCATAAAGTGCGCAAAAACCAGTCGCTCTGTCGAGGACTGTCTTTTGACATCACGTAGGTCATGATTCCCAGTAGATACTGCATGAACTATCGTAGATAGCAACGCAATCACACCTAAAATGGATCGCATCTTCGTCATTGTTTGTAACTTCTCTTGATTATTTTGAATTCTTGTTTATGGTGTTGGCATTTATTTTATGCAATTCTCATATCCTTAAATATATCTTTGATTCACCAGATGACTCGGTACTTCTTGCAGCTGACCTAGGAAGTTTAATCATCAGGAGAATGAGTGTGATGTTTGCTGTTTATCTCTCCGAACCCAATCAACGTCTTACTTTCAAGGAACCATGTGGTTATTATCAAGCTTTTGATGGACAAATCCTAGATTTGGTGCGTTGATGACCTCACGATCGGGTGATTGCGCCTTTTTTTCTTTTTCATTTAGGTACAGGGTGACTGCCAGCTATTTCTATGGGTAGTAGTGGTTGTTTTACTGTATATATATTTGCCGATGACCATACAGAAATAAGTAGCAACTGATCCTTGAGGGGAGGGGTTAGAACCTTCCATGAATGGCATTTTCGGTATGTATCCAACGTTATTCTTTTCTTAGATGAATCCATCTATAGAGACTCGGTTTCGCTTTCCACTGGGCTGATTGAAGTTGTGCCATCGTCCATAATTACAGAAGTCGTAAAATAACTAAGCCAATGTGATTCAACATGAATATATTCAGTAAAATACCCGAAGACATGCACAAGACCACCCCAACCTTACCTCATCGGCACTATATCAGTAACTTCCCGAATGTAACCCAAACAATTATTTTTTGAGGATGTTTGTGTAGATCACAAAAGGTGGGGCTAGATGAAGCAAGCAGATTCTATGATTCTATGTGTAGAGCCATTGATTCGAAAGCCAAATTGCCAGATGACGAAATGTGATTGGGACAGCAGATTTATGTTTTTGTCTACATATATACCAATGTATCCTTTTCGGAGAAAATCGTTAACAATAAAATCCCTTGTAGCACCTGATTGCCAAATTGTACGACCAAGAGGGTTCTTCTTATTAGGGGTTGGTAGGTCCGTCGGAAAGTACCTAGGTATGTTAGATGGGAAATTCAATTGGTATCAAAGTGACACTACTACCTAGGTATTTACATATGGAGAAACTATCAGCAGACTATTGTAGTATTTGCGGGGGTTACATCCCGTAGAAAATTGGAACTCCAAAGCCACATGGTCTTGTTACCATACCACCTACTTAAGGTAGATCCCTCTAAAATGGAAGCGTGTGTAACTTCAATTTGCGTCGTTGCTGCTGACAGGCACTGAAACGACCTTGAAACCCCAGGACTAATTTCTTGGATGATGTCAAGTTGGTAGACATAGGCACGTGGCTCTTCGTCTCCCACTTCCTGAACCGGTATTAAGCCCATCCCAAGCTGGCTGGCGCTCGAAAATTATTCTGACAGAGGCATTAAACTGCATCATTGTGTACCAGGCATATCCTCAAGGCGTACTATGTAATTCGTCACGAGCGCGCACACACTATACCCTTTTGCAGAAATGCTTAGCATTGCTGTGATTGGTCACATCGAGGGTGGATCTTTTTACCTTTTTTTTAACCTTTTTATGCCTGACACGTCAGGCCACAATCACAACTTCCCCATCTGATATTTTTGATCACACAACTTAACCTTAGGAGAGATTTAATCTTTACATGAATCTCGTCTACATCTCCATCTCGAATCTTTCAGAAATTATCATGATGAATGCATCTTTTTCTTTTGAACATCACATTTTTGAATACCCAAATTTTGTTGGAATGGCGCGATTCTTAGTGTCTTGGCAGTACAAATTCCAAAAATAGTCGGTACCCTCCGCTATTTGCTCGTATTTTGCAGATAAAAAATCAAAATAGATATAGAAATGGGGCACGGTCACGGTTAAGTGTCTATGAGAGGCAGTGCAGGCAAGAGATCGTGTGATATGTAGACCACGTTGTATTTTTGAGCCTCCCTCAAACTTCAACAACATAATAGCCTACTGAGGATGGTCTTACCTATACTGGTTATAATATGTGTGCATATTATTGAAGATCATTGAATCTTCAGTAGAACGTTACTAATCAGAAATAAACACCTATTAAAGCGTAAAATCAGCCTGGTGGCCCGCCGCGCGGCATATGCGTGTGCAGTTCAACTAAAGCTTCTCCACCCGCTGTCCACCGGCTGATTCCACAACGCTTAGCACAAAAATAAGGCACTAAACCATAGCAAAGAGCATAATTAGAAACTAGATTGATAGGGATATTGTTTTACCCGTTAGGCTAAATATACCGCGTGGCTCTTTTCTTTTCTTTTTTTTTCAAGTCAACCAAATCCTAAAGCCAGCTTTAAATTAATATTCTGATCCTCTTTCTAGGTTCTCCTCCTTTTTTTTCTCCAATCCAATCAGCTTAATTGCAAAACCATGAAGCCTTCAACATTCGCACTGTGCACAGTGCTGTGCTCTCGGGTGCTCGGTCACCCCTATACCTCTGAAACCATATGGATTCCAGCCACACCGACATCCCTAGAGGAGTTATGGGTAGTCCCAGAGCCGACTGAGGTAGCCCATCTGTACGGCAAACGTGGATATGGCGAGATCCTCCAAGCCAGAGATACCACTGCAACAACCGACTCTACTACATCCACAGACACCACAACCGATACAACCGATACAACCACATCAGAGACACCTACTTCAACAACGACATCTACGACCGCAACCTCCACATCGGAAACATCTACCACTACCTCCTCGACATCCACAACTTCCACATCTACAACATCCACGTCTACAGCCTCCACATCGACAACATCTACATCTACCAGCTCAACTACTAGCTCAAATACCACCAGCTCCTCAACGACAACCACTAGCGCCTCGACAACGACAAGTACGTCATCTGCAACTGCAACGAGCAGTTCCACCGCGGAGCTGGATGGTGAGTCTCCAAACCCATGAGGCTCAAGATTCCCATCATGCTGACAAATACCTAGAATGGAACCGCAGGGGTAACATAGCAGCAATTGTATTTGGCTGTTGTATGATCTCTCTATTTGGAGGCCTTAGCCTGCTTTATTGCTTACGCAATAAAGCAAAGGCCAAACGAATTGCGGCTAGAAAAGAACTGGAGGCCAGTCCGTCGTACTCGAAGCTACCCCTTGTGGCCGCGAAACACAATTCCGCCACTGATTTTGAGCTTAACCGCTCCTCCATGATGTTCAACAACAAGCCGGAGACGGAATACTTCCCAGCGCAAGGTGCCCCATCAGTTCCAGAGTATCAAAGTCACAGTCACACTACCTCCACAACATCTCAGACTACAGCGGGTCAATCATCTACTAGGGAACACATGCCGCGAGCATACAGCAATGATCAGCACACACCTTTGGTTTGAGGTGTTTAATTTGCTTGTATATTCGAGTTTTTGCATAGCTTTCGGGGTTGGAGTGTTCTTGGTTGTTATGTTCGAAACGTTAGCATTTGTTTATAGAGTTATAACAGTAAGGCATAAATCCACTTGTTTTTATTTGGATACCCACACCCGGAGTAGTAATATTAACAGCCAATACCCAAAGAAATAAAATAGCATGTTCAATTGTTGTGTCAGAAGAGCCGAAATTAAGAATTATATCGTTTACAACATCGCGTGTAAGGTGCTAGGATGGACAGTTCCCCTCTTGATGAGGCTCCACTGTCCATCGCGTCTAAAATGAGCCACAACTTAGGGATCTTACGAAAAGATGAATGCACCAGGTTCGTTTGCTCGGGGTTTCATTCCTGGAAAGTTGCTCGTTTTTTTCTCCCATCTTCTACCCGCTAGAGCGAAGATCAGATACAAGAGTGGAGGCCAAAAATTGCAAAGGTGATCGTTTATTAAAAGAGCCAGGACGGTTTAAGGTTGCTTTAGCGTGATATTCCGAACAAACCGCCCTTCCACTATTTGAGCTCGGCTTCGATAATGCCTTGCCCATCGCCAGGTGGTGCCCAAAACTTGATAACGTGGAAACCAGCTCCTTCTAGCAACCTAGTCCAATGGGACTTGGACCGCTCCATGCTGTTACAGAAGATCATCATTTCCCAATCCCACATCGCCGGTAACATAGCACCATCGCGATCTGCCAACACAAACTCTTCGATGATCAGTTTCGAATAACCTTGCTTCATTGCACCAGCCAATTGGGTAAGAATGACATGATTCTCCTCGTCGGACCAGTCATGAAGAATGAATTTCATATAATAAATGCGAGCGCCTGAAACCAAGGTTAATGATTACCGAAATAAAGTAGCAGCGGAAGAAACTCACCATGGATCGGCTGTGGTTTAAACAGGTCAAATGACTGTTTTTCGATACGCTGCACATCTACAGTGCTCTCTTCCAAAACATATGGCAGATCTTCGAGTACCAAACGCCCTGGTGCATCAGGATACCGTGCCAAAAATCCCGCGAGGTCATGGCCTCGACCCCCTGCGACATCAACCATAAGCGTCTCGGCGTCGGGATTAGCACCACATAAAAGACGCTCTTCCACTGGGAACCATTCAAGCCAACTTGGTCTCGCGCCGCGGTCACCCTCCATAAAAGTATTACAAGAATCAAGATTCTCTGGGTTTTGTCGCAACCAAGTCCAAATTGGCTCATCAATCTTCTCAGCGAATTGTAGTGGGCCTGCAGTGGCGCCCTCTGGGTTTCGGTGGTCCTGGAGGCGGAGGAACTCGGGGACCTTCGCAAGAGTAGGCATCCCAACATCAAATATAAACTTGATCACCGAAATACTTAGTCGGTCAGTCAGCTGGCGTGTCATAGTAGTCGCGATATAGACGCGCGTGTCGCATTCGCCAACATAGTCAATTCCAACTAAGACACGCAAAACTCGTTCTATCCGGGCGGTTTTATCGTCAGTCATCCATACAATGCAGAGCGTCCAACGGGAAATAACTTACCAACTAGGATTGGACTGGCCTTTTTCACGGCTGCCAGATCATCAAGCGACACGGGCCCATTACGCTCCGTCAGCGTTGCAAATATATCCATGTCGAGGGCGATGCGCACGCACATGGCGTGAGTGGGCTAGACTAAGTAAGCACCAATATCGTCACCCTGGAGAGTCTAATAATTACAGAATAGGCCAGATGATAGACCGAATCCTGCGGCTTCTGTAATGCATTCACCAGTCTCTGCGCTGCCTTCAGCGCGGCGACACGATCTGTCTCTTCGCGCTGGCATTGGAAAGCCCCCAGTGACTGCGTTACCTGGTACTGTAGCTGGTCAATTGACTCATCGGATACAGTGGTTGCCATCTTGTGTATTCTGAAGAAGAATACACGTATGTATGTATAAGGGGGGCCCGGGGTAGTTGCGATTGGAAATAAGGTGTAGAATAACTGCCTAGAGCAAAATTTGTGGTAGTGAAATTTACGGAAATGTGCCAGAGTACCTGGGCCTTCACTTTGTCCTACATCCCCCCCCCCCCTTTTGAATGTCTTCGTTAGTCATCCGCTAAAGGTGAGAAAGTGGATTAACCACGCTGTGGTGTGTTTGGTCGGCTCATGATATTCCGGTTTATAGCCCCAAGCCTCCTGTCAAGGGTAGTGAAAGATAGTGAAAGATGGCGCCTGGGCGGTCATTTCAAGCCTAAAGGTCTGTAAGACGTTGCGCCCACAGATTTACCGCTCGATATTTCTCTTCCCAATCAGACCCGATTCCGACCTAACCCTGTGGAAACATTAAGTGCATCTTCACCTTTATAGGCAGAAGTTCACACATGGTAACAAATGCAACGCATTGTTCACCAACGGCTCTGGATCCATGATCCTCGCACTCCGGCCCGCGGGAGAAGGAATGGGGCGAAATGATGAAAGTGGAGCGCGCTATACCTAGCTAGTTGACTTCCGGACTCGGACCGCGCTACCAAGACCCTCATTTCTTCTTGTGAGCCAATAGAAATTTCTCACTGGCTCAACTATGGGGCGACATATCAGTGACAGGGATGGAATTCTCAGTATGTCTCAATACCCTGTCGTGCGCCAAAGCAGGATTTTACCAATATGGCCATTCACAAATAAGGGGCATGCTTTGTGGTCATCATGGTCGTCGTATCAGGGTTCTATTCCCTTTCCCCTTTTAAGGCCTTCAAGTGGTGATGGCGCTGGCCGAAAAGTCGGCATAACACAATGAGCGAGCGTGGTGTCAATATCACGGCAGTGTCATGGTCCTTGGGCGGTGTTGCCCTAGCGGTTGTTGGTGTGCGGTTGTACACACGTGTGGTTGCTCTGCGACGAGCTGGCTGGGATGACTTTTTCATCGCTTTGTCGCTAGCAAACGCTATAGTATGCTCGTCTTTGGTTCAAGTTGGCATTTCTTACGGACTGGGACGCCATTTGAGCGACATTCCAAATGCGTATCAGAAACTTCAGGCGATCAAGTACACAGTTATAGCACCGAACTTCTCTGTTGTCAGCACCACAACTGGTAAGATGAGTGTGACTATCTTCCTGCTCCGGCTCATGGGACAATCTGCATCTGCACCGCGGCGATGGTTCCTATATATCATGATGGCGGTGTCAATAGCGTGGAATGTGTTGGCCATCGTGGCCATCATTGGATTTTGCCGACCCACAGAGCGTATCTGGAACCCGAAGGTGGATGGCTCCTGCTTCAGTCTCAACTTTCAGTTGGTTGCCGGGACATCTCAGGCGGCCTTCAACGCATTCAACGATTTAGCCCTCGCTGTTTTCCCGGCTTATATCTTTTGGCATGTCCAACTCGCCTTTAAGATGAAGATTGCAATCATCTCCGTCATGGGAGCCGGTATCTTGTACCTCACTCTTCTCATCATGTGTCGGAGACGTTAGGCTAACTGAATAGTGCGGCGGCGGCCACGCTGGTCAAATGCATTCTGCTGAAGAACCTTCCTGCCCATTCCGACATCACCTGTGAGTAACCCTCAGCTCTTATGTATATTATTGCGCACGCCTCCTAATTACATATAGATTCGTGGGCTGACATCACTATGTGGTACACGTAAGTTTTCTATCATTTCTTCCTTTAAATTGCTAACGAGTGTTAATGAAATCTAGGATCGAGGTAAGTTCTCCCGCATTATCCAAGTAACTCTAGCTCATGAAGATAATTAGATGTACATTATAATCATCTGCGCATCATTGCCTACCCTCCGACAGTCCTACTCAGTGGTGCTGCAGCGCTCCCGTAAGACTTCGGCCTACACGCGCACAGAGTCTGCCCCTCGACAGAAGCCAATCCCTCTTGTCCGTCGTGTCCCAGATGCTTCGTTGTTTGCCACCCACACCGAGCCGCAAGTAGAACGGGAGGACAGCCGTCGTTCTAGCCAGGACAAAATATTGGAGCACGTCGGAATACAGAAGACCACAGAGGTCCACGTGTTTCAGGAGCCTCGGCAGGAGAACGAGGGGAACCCACATTTCCCACGATTGAATCCCTTTCGGGGATTTTGAAAAAAAAAAGAAGAAGAACAAAGAAGAAAGAAAGACAATTTGCGAGAAATGATCTTACGCGGTGTACCTACTTAGCATACACAAATTCTGTCGGAAGAATTCACGACCTATACGGCGTAATCGATAAGTCAACAGCATACATAAGTCAACAACGAGGAACACTTCATACGCTATTCACATTCAAACCGAAGTTTGGAGTTAGATGTCCTCGATATATTCGCACACCACCTTGCCCGCTTTCAAAACTACGTGCTATTATATAAATGGCGGAAAAGGTCCTAAATGCGGGGTTTTCGCTCTGCAGGATTGGAGAATGAGGGGGCCAAAAAGAGAAGGAAAAAAAAATATAAAGATGCCGTGAACTTGTATTTTCAATTTATACTTATTTTTTGCTAGATTAAAACGTTATTTGTCACAATGTCATCAAAAACGATTCGTGTAGCAGTCACTCAGGCCGAACCAGAGTGGTTAGATCTAACCGCTGGCGTGGTGAAGACCTGCAACCTCATCGCAGAGGCTGCCCAGAATGGCGCTAGATTGATTGCCTTTCCAGAGTGCTGGATTCCTGGATATCCATGTTGGATCTGGTAAGTTCAGTCAAAACTTTTACAATACTCCTTAATAACGAGCAACTCGCCCCAGGAGCCGGCTTCTCGATGTCGAGTTAAATGTGGCATACATCAAGAACTCCATTACCCTCAATTCCCCAGAGATGACCCGAATTCAAGCATGTGCAAAAAGCCATTCGATTGCAGTCTCACTGGGCTTTTCGGAGAATGACAGCAACTCTATCTATATCGCCCAAGTAATGATTGGTGGCGACGGAGAGATCAAGTCACACCGCCGAAAGATGAAGGCTACCCATATGGAGCGCACCATTTTTGGAGATGCCTCCGGAGAATGTTTCTCCAGTGTTGTGGAGCTTCCCTTTGGGCGTGTTGGAGCGCTCTCTTGCTGGGAGCACATCCAGCCGCTGTTGAAATATTTCATGATATCTCAGAGAGAAGATATTCACGTCTCTGCATGGCCTAGCTTGACTCCTCATACTGGGAAGGCTGATCTCTGGTCTATGTCCGCTGAAGGTAATCAATACATCCTGTGCTCCCAATTCGCACGTTGACGTACTTTTTAGGCTGTCACAGTTTGTCACAGACATATGCCGCTGAGTCACAGAGCTTCGTTCTCCATTGCACAGCCGTAATGAGTGAAAAGGGAGTAAATGCAATGAACACGAGTGGGGGGCTCTTGATGTCTTCTCCGGGAGGAGGTAGCTCTGTGGTCTTTGGTCCCGACGGGAGGAGGTTGACTGAACCTCTTGATAGCACCACCGAGGGCATAATCTATGCAGACCTTGACATGAACCAAATCGTGGCGACTAAGATTTTTGCAGATGCTACGGGTCACTACAGCCGCCCGGATCTTATGTCGCTTAATATCTGCAACAAAGTGAAAAAGATGGTTCAGGTTGATACGGAGACAGCTGAGACAACCGCGGAGTAGTAGTTATAATATATGTATAATGCCATCGATCACACAGGAAATTGATTAGAGAGTTCAAGTTTTTGTATATCCTAGGCTAGGATATTAATACATTACTCTAGGGCGTATATATAGTAGAGCATAGCCACCCCGAGCGGGAGTAGAATTTTCACCAGCACTGCTTTGTTCAGCACGGCACCTTTTTTGGTCTTGTTCGTTTTTATTCGACTTAACCATAGAATGATGACAACTCAGAGCGAGAAGCTAATGAGGCAAGACTCATTGGGTGCAAATCTCAATCAGAGTTGAATTAATGGCGTGCCAATATGCGCAGGAGTTTGATGGTGCAATTCTTTCGGGGTCATTTATTTTGTATTTGAAACGACGATGAGGTCAGGATGGGCAACAATTCGGGAGCCAGCTTTTCTTCTCTCGAGTTTCTTTCAGTTCCGTTTGCTCGTCGCCACGGCCAATGAACTCCTTCGTGACAGTAGGATTATCAGGGTAGCTCTCGCGGAATACTCCCATGGATTGAATGTTTAAGCTAAAATTGCCTTGTTGTGCCCCAAAGAAACTACAAAATTAGCACCCATTTTCTGCTCTCTCTTAATATCAAACTTACCTCCGAATCATGATCCGAAACCTCCTTATGTGCGACAAGTCCAATAGCCTGGCATCTTCTACAGGCTTCCCCCGATATGTCGGCTTCAGATCCTTCCATGACAGGCGCACTACGCGCCCTGTCTCACTAGCGCAAAAATCGTATTCCCAGACAAGAGCACTTTGTTCACGACCATCTGGCCTCCGTTGTGGGATTTCGTCTGTGAGTGAGAAAGTATATCGATTTCCGTCTAACGGAACAATATGCAGCTCAAAACCGTCGTGTCCGGTGAGGTCCCAGACTTGTTCGTTTCCGACCGTGCGTTGTGAGGCAAAACCGGCACCACCAAGTGTCTCAATGTCGAGATTGCCGTGAAAAAGTACCCCTTCCGCTGTCGGCTCGAGATTTGACACGGACGATCCACCACGGACGCGGTCGTCAGAGGCGGTCCAGCGACTGATGTCCCAATCAGGGCCGAAAATTATTTGTTTATTGGTAGGGTATTCCATCATAAAGCGGGATTGTGTTGGCAGACGAGACTAGTCGACGGGTGTTAGATAGATTGTGGGATTATCGCAAACTGCGAACTGCGAACTGCTCAGGTGCACTCCGATCGATCGATCTATCGATCGGCTGGTTGATTCGCAGGGTGACGTCATTTTTGGAGCGACAAACAAAAGCGGCCGGACAAACAAGACGATGAATATATTTTCTACTGGAGGATGGAGGTGTGCTCGATCTAATCTGAAAAATAACATTGGGGTATATTGACTTTTTACATGAATTCATATCTATTAAACATCATAACGTTTCTTTTCAATATCATAAACCGGCGAGCATGCCAATTTACTTCTCTCTCGCAGCCATGGACCGTATACCTTGAACAGAACAGGAATAGGAATCATCACGATTGCGATACATCCAAGCATTGTGCCCGCCCATTGGACTCCGAGGTTCTCCATCATTTGCCGGGAGAAAAGCGGGAACGAGCAGCCAATAGCCGATCGTAAGATGGTGTTCGCGGCGATAGTGGATGCAGCCCTGTCAATTGGGTTAGTCACTCGGTTTCACAGGCAAGACAAGGCAACGTACAAGGAAGGATAGCAGTCAACGATATAATTGAAACACTGCAAGAAGATCAAAAAGATCCCCGCGCCGGTGAGGAGCCCTGAAGCTACAGGAGCCATCCAGTGAATGGATGAAGTGTATCCGGTCCAGCCGAACCTGCAGGTTATTAGCTCCGAACGCCAAACATAAAGGTTTCAAAAAGGATACTCACCAAAACATTCCCCCCGCAAAGAATACAGCTCCTATAATCGCTGGTCCAAGGCGCCATTCAGGGATAGGCTTATCACCATTTGCCGCCAGCTTCGCCTTGTATGAACCCTGTATCAAGAGGATATAAATGCCACCAAGAAGTTCGCCGATAATGAGGCCGATAAACGCGAGTCCACCGACACCCATACTCATTCCGTAGACGCCTTCGAACACAACAGGGTATGCACCTAACAGAGCATAGATGAGACCATAGACGAAGGAGATATACAATGAGACAAAAAGCAGTATGGGCTCTGTCACCAACATCACAACGGGTCGGGCAAAGTTGTTCCGCAGAAGCTCTGTCAAATCCACTTCCACTTCATCTTGCTTTGCGTGGATGCCCCAATTGCGAGTTTGTCGGCGTAGGGTAGCTGCCTTGCGGACCAGGATGACTGGAGCATAAGTCTCCTCAAGGAAGACAAAGACGAGAACAAACCCCAGAAACACCATGATTGCAGAGATATACATGATCCACCGCCAACCCAGAGAGCTCATTGCAATGAAGCCACCCACAAACGGTGCCGAAAAGGGCCCGATGAACACCGCCATACAGAAAATTGACATGACGACACCCCGTTGTGTATTATTGAACAAGTCTGCAAACACAGCGGGAACAACTGAAATAGGACTAGCCGAGAAGAGGCCAGCAAAGAAACGACAGATCATGATGGTCTGTATATCTTTGGCAACTGCACATGCAACGGTGAAGATGGCACATCCGAAAAGTCCGAGAGATAGTGGCCAACGCCTGCCAATCAGCTCTGATCCTGGCGCCCAGATGGTTGGCCCGGCTGCGAATCCAAGAACATAGAGTGTCACTCCAAGTGAGCCAATTTCGGTGCTTGTGTTGAACTCCTTGCTGAAGCCAGAGATAGCTGCCGAGAAGACAGCGCTGGTAAACGATCCGGCGAAGGTACCATAACATAGGATGCAAACTAGCATTATTCTGCTGGGATATTAGCAAATGTATCTTGGTATCGAGAGGGAGGAATGATAGTGGACATACCGCCTAGGTGTAGACCAGTTGTATGGATGTAAGGGATCATTGGCTCCATCAAACTCCACGACATAGTCTTCAGAATCCGGGAGTAGAGGCGGATACTCTTTGTTGGCACCCATAGGAAGCCATCTGTCACGGGGAGTAGGCCCTCTCGTAGAGCCTACTGTTGTTTTCTGTTGCAGTCGATAGGTATTGATACGGGTAAGCTCGAGAGAGTTGATTTGTTCAATTGTGTCGTCGGATTCATCGCTGCGAGAGTCGATGGGGGAGTCAATATCTAGCTCATATTTGTCTGGGTGTTGGTTGAGATGCTCCATTGTATGCTATCATATCAAGGTTTGGGGATTAGACTGGATGTTTGTGTGGGGATATACAAATCTCTAGTCGAGGAAAACAACGTAGTATATGTCCCCGTTTGTGTCGGCCCATTGATCACATTTTCCCTTCCTAGTCTTCTCGGTCTTCGGCCCAATCCTTGATCCATTGTAAAATGGGCCCTGATTGCGGCAAAGCGACCTCAACTAGGGCAAAAAAAACACCTGTAGAAGATCCATACTTTTCCGCTGTGGCTAAAAGTGCTTTAAATATCCACTATCCAGTCACAGTGCCCTGGCAGTTTAAGTCAGTGACCAGTTAGAAATCATGTCTTGCTCGGCTAGGATCGGAGATGTGGCTGACAGTCGCTGTGGAGTGGTCTGCCGAGGACAACCGGTCATAGCCGTTATCAGTTTTGTCTCAGGCAACGAAAACTCTTCAATATCATCTTGTTTGCAGGCTGAAAATAATCAGCAATGATACCATGTCTATATTGTAAATTGCTCTCAGACCGATCTCGACTCACCCCGTGAAACAGGTTGGGCGTGTTTCCCGTGCCGAAGCCGTCGGGGTGGAGATCGGGACCCAGTTCCATTATATAACGGGATACGCTCACTACGTATATGATAAATAATTGTTGCGATGGATTCATCGCTGGTTTCACAACCATAACTGGCGGTCTTACCACAAGATCCATATATGATTTCCGACTACCGAATCTCATCTTTCCCATAACTACTCCATACCGATACCAGTCACATGATCCCCATACTGCCTATTCGGGAAGTGTGAATAGTATTATATTGGACAAAAGACGTTCATTTTCCCATATTACGTAAAGACTGGGAAACTTCCAAGGTTCTCTATCTGTGTTACCCCTCACCATAGAGTATGCATATGCATTGCATTTAGTACGGAGTACATATATAAAAATAAGGCCGAGTCCGTCGACGTGGCAATATAATGGAAGCATATCAGTGTATGTTGTAGAAATGTTTTTCTGGGAGTGGTTTTTGACGCCATGCAATCGGCCCCCACATGCCCGATAGGACTTTGATTTCCCGTCTTGCATGTGTACAAAGTAAAAGCATGCAGGGGGCTGTAACTCTGCGTTGGCCAGCTGTTCTATGTGAATTAGTATTTCAACGAACGTTAGAGTTAATACATAGATATAAAGTGATAAATTATACCACTGGCTCTCAATTTTATATGAACCTCATTTGAAACTCTTGCTTTTTAATTATATGCCCCCACTTTACCCCCACGTCGAGGGTTCTCTCAAATTACAATATGTGGGATCTGTACAAACTAGTACTAATAAATCAATAGCCTTGATTGATTCAGATGCCAAGGAGCTGTTGAAAGGTCTCTTAGTCTTGGCCTGTTTTACAAAGGCATTGCGAATTGACCCATACCCCATGTTCTACGCCGGTGAAAGGCGGATCCCACGGGGCGGGTATATTGCGTCATCCATGAACCAGCTGGAGAGATCCACCGGATATCACCCCTCAATCCTTCGGCACATCGGATCGTGAGAAATTACAACGGGGGCCAAATACTTTATTCTGCCACTTTCTAAAGCTTTCTAAGCTTAAGAACCCCAATCTTTACCGCTTGCTGTAGATTCGCAAGTTTTCAATTGCCTTTTCATTGAGAATATTCAACACATTTCGAAATCTCTCCTATCACCACAGAAACGGACGTGATTTCTCTCACCCTCTCGTCTGGGCAATACTCTCTCAAATAAGCTCTGTGTACCATTCTCATTTCAATCAGTCAACTTGTGCAAAATGGTCCGCATCCTGATAACTGGTTCTACGGATGGCTTTGGGCTTGAGGCTGCCCGTCAGCTGGTTCAGCGTAACCACACCGTCTATCTTCATGCGCGTAGCCAAGAGCGCGCAGATGAGGTCAAAGCAAAATGCCCTGGAGCTGCCGGCGTGCTGGTTGCAGACTTGACAAGCGTGGCAGAGACACGCAAACTTGCCGAGGAAGCAAATGAGATTGGTGTCTTCGACTCCGTCATTCTTAATGCCGGATTGCTTTACGGCCCGTTCCGCAAGACGCCAGATACCGGCGTGCCAGCTATGGTATTTGTCAACGTTATTGCACCCTATATCCTCTCTTGTCTCCTTAAACAACCTAAGCGTCTTACCTTTATCGCTTCTGTCCTACACCGAGAAGCCAAGACCGACGTGAGGGATATTTTCTGGCTTGAACGTGGGGAAAAGGATTTCCAGGATTTCCCAGCATACTGCGATTCGAAGCTTCATGTTATGCTTCTTGCTAATGCGGTAGCAAGGAGGTTTAATGGCACTTCAGTCACGTCTGTGCATCCTGGATGGGTGGCTACCAAGCTTGGAGGTCAAGGCGCTACCGACAAGCTGGAGGATGGTGTGGAGACATATGTCATGCTGGCTGAGGGTGATTATGATCAAAGTCTCACTGGTGTATATTTCGAACCTAAAAGGAAGATCGGTGAACCTCTTGCAGTGACAGCCGACGAGAATTTGCAGGAGGTAGTCGTTAAAGCTTGCGAGGATATCACCGGTCTTAAGCTAGCAGCTTGAGATTGGGATGTCGGCGCCCATTCATAATCAGGTAGCTTCAATTCATGAAATTACGTCGTCCTTCATAACAAATGATTGAGATCACATTGATGGAGGGGGGATATCTTGCACGTTAGGGTATAAAGTAGCACCTATAGCTTCCTCCTAAGGCAGATATAATAGAAGCTGCTTATATATAGATATAAGTGTTTCGACAATTTCCTAACGATAAATATACTTTATATCTTTCTGGGACCACTGGTAAAAGGTTAAAATGAATACATATAAACATATATTGATATCTTAGAAATAATATTTCACTTTTCCTTTTTCATTAATGAGAATAAAAGTACTTGTTATCAGCATAGAGACCAAAAATAGTACAAGGAATCATATGCTTTCCATCGGAGTTAGAAACCGAGGAGCCAATGATATCCAGAACGAGGTCTAATCAGATCAACGAATCAGAGACAACGTCAAATATATTTCATAATCAGCCTTACTGCAGTTAATCATCTGGAATCTCAACCGAAGCCCTAAATTTCACCTAGTTCATGTGACAAGTTTGGGTAAGATGAAAAATCCTTGCAAAGTCACTGTGTTGAAGGGGTTCAACGGGTAATATAGGAAAGAGAAGTATCTCGTGTGAAGATGCCATTATAGGGCAGGAAAATGGTAGTGATTGTGGTATTGCTTTTTTTTCCCCTTTCTTTCCTTTGGCAATTTACCATGAATTGAATATCTCGCTGGGTGTAGTGGTCAATCAGTTTGACCAACGTCCCAAATCTTGCTGCCACTGGTGGGTTCATTTTAGATCCAAGTTTATAAATGGAGAATTAATCTTGCACAAGCCGTTTATATGGCCTCTGTCTAGCTATAACTCCAATAGGGGGGGATATCTGAAAAGAAGACGACTCTAAAGATGTGCCAAGGCCGCAAATGCCGCTCACTATTCTTGTATGGTATCGAGTGAAAGCTCCAGTGGATACAAACACAATATTGAGTCAGTGCGTTGTCTGCAACCTTATGACACAGGCATCGCGAGACATTTGTTTCTTCACTTCTCGCATGCTAAATTCACTATAATACAATGTCTAGTCGCTTAGCACTAGATAACCAAAACTCCAAACGAAGGAATAAACAAAAGACAAGAAATATGTGCTCACACATGATAGCGCAATCAACCACCAAGTATCATGAAAGCCATGAGTCCAATCCAACCAGCCACGAAGACTGCGGTCATGATGCCAGCGCCTGCCTTGTCAGCGGTTGTCACTGTCGTTGTTTGACTGGAAGCAGTAGTATCGCTTTCGCCTGCTGTTGGGTTGCTAGTACTGTTTCCACCAGTTGTCGAAGTCACCGGAGCAGTGTTGTTAAAATTGATCAAATTTGCCGTGAAGACTTTTGTCACGCTGATCTGTTCTTCCATTCCCATCCACCCGTCCCATGTAGACTTGTACCACCGGACACCACAAGTGCCATTGCTGTGGCCAGTGCATGATGCAGCGGCTGCCTGCGCTGATGTTTGGAGCTTCGCGATAATGCTGTCAAATGTTGATGGAACAAGCAGAGCAGTCAATGACAACCAGGTGGAAGTCAGTCCTTTGAAGAGGATCTCGTTGTTATTGCAGTTTTCTGCAGGCTCGCAGTAATAGTCCTCAATAATTCCACCGGTGAGGAAAAAGTTGTTGAATGTCGTGTTCAATAGGCCATTTACTGCCGTCAGCCATTGAGACTTGGTAGTCCCGTTTGTCTATAAGGAGGGGTTAGCTTTGACACAACAAAGAAAATGCGAAACTCGAAATGGGTATTCCTCACGTAGTTGTACATATACGCTGCCCCCATCAGGTAAGTACCATAGTTGTACGTCCATTGGGCATTTCCCTGGGTCGCACAATCATTCTCAACATTGGTAGAATCAGCAACATTCCATGTTGAGTTGCTAAGCAAAGGTGATGAGACAGACCAATCCCAAATCTTGTTCGCCCACTTGAGATAGACTTCATCTCCGGTGTATCGGGCTAGACGCGCAGATAACTGAAATAACCCTCCATTAGAAATAGAATTCTTCATTCCGTAGCCAGACTGGTAGGGCCAGATCTGCCACCGTAAACCACCGCCACAGGAGGATGTATCCCATCTTTTGATCTGAGTATTGAAGACACCTTGGGCTAGAGAGAGCCATGAGAATCCAGTCGAGCGGTCTGGGAATGAGTATTCAGCGGCCGTCATAGCTGCCAGACCCCAGAACATCTGGTCGTCGTTTCCCTGGTAGATAACCGGTATTAGATATGAACGTGTTGTTGATTGTTCAGACAGTGCTCACCAGATAAGAACTGTAGTTGCTTGGCATATAGTCCCCGTCTGTGCCTGATTGCCATTGCAATCCAACACTTAGTTCTTCATTGTATGTTGTGTCACCAGTAAAGTGCCAGTATTCTAAGAGGGCCATGAAAAGTGGAGCTCCTTCCCACCATTTATCTGGAAAGGCTCCAGGGATTTGACCGGTCTCGTTGCCGTAATAGTATTTCATCATAGCGTAAGTCGTCGTACTCGCAGCATCTTTGATCGACTCTGTTGTAAACTCAAACGTTAGCTTCTCGTTCCCCCTAGTAATTGACATGAAGGGAGAATCTAAACCCCGCCACGTACGTTCATCCTTAATATCCAAGTCGATTGCGCGTGCTACGCTTGAAAGGAGTAGAGCAGCGACAGCACCTCTGAAGGGCGACCACCCCCCGAGAAAGTGCATCTTATCAAGGTGACCAATGGGAAACCATATAAATTTCACCAAGGAGAGATATCAAGAATAGGTGTAGGCTGATGTGCTCAAGAGAAGTCACTTAAGCATTAAAGAACGAAAGAAAATATTCTCCCCCCAGAAATGGACACTAGGAAATCTCATGTTCATAATATTGTTTTTAAATATAGAAGGGCATGCGTAATCCTCGGCGCTAGCGTCGTCAACTCATTTCATTGTGGAGTGTAAGCCCAGTTGTGGGGCTAAATGCCAAGCTTTTACAAGCTTTCTTCAGATTGATCGAAGGATCGTAGATACTATGTAGAGTATAGAGTAGATCTTGATCGTCCCGTCTCTTCCTCCGATGTTCAACCTGATTGGCTTCATCTTTTGTCTGATCGCTCATTTTTTTGGCGGGATTGACAAATCATGAGAAGAATTTTCAGATTTATCCTCGTGCTCGTGGGTAAGTTCCCTTCTCCATCGGTACCCCCGGTAGTAAACAATCCATAGAGCAGGACTTCCCAATACCCAAAGGCCAGCGATGAATGTAGCAGTCCATCCAATGCCGATGGATTTGATCAAAGGGGACGCAATAGCCGCGGCTCCAGCTCCCATAAGGCAGCGAAATAAATTGTTTGCTGCGGCAGCGGTGGCGGCGCTTTTGTAATTGATATCCACAACCAAAGTACTCAGGGTGTTGAATGCACTTGTAGTTGTAAGACCAGTGAAGAACAGCATCACAAGGGGGCCAGCCAGGGAAGTTCGATACTGCATCACCCAACCATAAGCTAAAATGCAAAAACTAGCCACATAGATCAGTGGAAGAGTAATCGCCAGGCGTGCTCGTTCGATATCAAAGTGTTCAATTTCCTGCTGTCGGTTCTTGTGAATGATCATTCCCTGCAAATGTGCCTCGCGGCGGAAGTTCCAGTCCAAGAGTCGGCCAACTACCCAGCGCGAGCTTATGGTCCCAATGCCCATGGGAAGATAGCACAGCCCAATTTCGATAGAGTTGAATCCAAATCGACTCGCCAACTCGGTCGACAAAGTGCTAATCACAGCCATGTACCCTGCGTACAAAAAGGCTCCGTACAATAGAACCAACCTCATTTCTTTTTGCGTGGCTATCAAAAGAGCTGAAATTGGGTTTGGACGCTTCTTCAGTTCCTGAATGGTGGAGTGATCGGCGAACCCTTGTTGGTCGTCGAATCGTGATGTTCGGATGAATAATGTCCACAGTGGGCGATTCCACGAGGCTGGCGGCACCGACCCATTTCCCACGACGGCTCGACATGTCTCAGGAAACACAACAAGGATGACAACAAAGCAAACACCCGATAGAATGACCAGGAACCAAAATATCGATCGCCAGCCCAGGAAATGGTCCAACAGCCCACCGATAACGGGTCCAAGTGTCGGACCTAGTGCCATTCCAATTCCAGCGTATCCAGTATACTTTCCTCGCTCGGCGCGAGTCGAGAGATCGGCTATGACAGCAGTGCCCAATGCAATCGTGCCACTGCTGCCCGAGGACTGCATACAGCGCAGGATCATTAGTGCCGTAAAGTTGTTTTGCAAAGCGAGACCAATATTCGCTCCCAGATAAATGACAAATGCAATGATATATGCAGGACGGCGTCCATAGATATCTGAAAAGCTACCAAGGAAAGAAGGAGCGAGTCCTTGGAATATCTACAAATGCTCAGCTTCATCATCTCTCTGCATGGCTCGGTGGACATTACCAGGTATGTTGTGATAGTCAAGTTGATTAGTGAAACAGAAACATTCATGTCGCTTGCCAGGGATGGGATGGCCGGCAGATAAATACTGCTAGACAGAGGTGAAAATAGGGCCGCAAAAGATCCCGCCATAATAACGAAAGTCTTTTCGCCATTTGGTATCACACTGTGAAGGGGGACCTGTTCATCGTTGATCGTTTGTTTTTCCTGATCAAGTCCAGGTTTTTCGGATTGACTCGGAGTATAGTGTTGGAGTTTCTCTGCTTTGACTGCATGCTGTACCTCACACAAGGGCGATAGACGCGGCTCTGTCGCACAAGAATCGGATGGGTGCACAGGCTGCATGGCCGAGAAGTCTAGATGGGAACGTCATTTTTTTAGGGGCCACCCAGGGTATATGTATTTTCTTCATTGCGATCGCGCTTTCTTTCAAGCTCAGCTTTTCCTCTTTCTCATCTTTTGCCTAGCGATGGCGGACCGTTACCGGGACCGGGATTGTCGGCGAACGAGGGTAAACAAGTGAGCAAGTGGATGCTTGGAGCTAAGTGGAGCCCTTGCGGTCGGACCTTCGCAGGGTTGGGATCACGTGATATTTTTGGTAACAAGTCGGTGCTGATAATTTTATCTACAGAAATCTGTAGTACATGGTATAGATGACGGATGTTGAGAACTCCAACTAAAATGACATATTTCAACAATCTGTGCGGTAATAATGACTAAACGTAATATATAGTGTGCCTGGTACTCGAAGTCACATGATGATTGGGGTATAATACCCTGTTCCAACCATGTATTCGACTTGGTATTTGACATTATCTTAGGTAGTTACCAAGCTAATCGCAATGCTTGCGGTGAAGAGACATTCATTCGGGATGGGATTTGCGAAATATGAAGACCATCATGGATGCATCTCGAAATTGCCAATGCATAAAATATGTTTAGACCTCCGCAAAGCCCATAAATGGGCCCGGACCCAAAACCCAACCCAACCCATAGCCTATTAAGGGGGTCTTGGCGCTTATTAACCGGCGTCTTATAATCGCTGTATTCTAACGATCTAGGAGAAACTACCTACGTTCTACTAATTGTATAGAGTTCAAATTTGGAATTTGAAATTTTAATAGCTATATAAGTATATATTTTAATTTCCAATAAAATCCGTCAGGTAGAGGTCGAGATACCGCGAAGAAGGTCAATATTAATATTTTTAATACTAGTTAGATATATATTTAAGATTTATATAACTATTTAAACGCAATATATGGACTTGACTAATAAATGGTTTCGAATCGATTAAAATAATAAACTATTACCTCGGGATAAAGGCTAGAAACGGGGTCTAAAAACATAAAGTAATTAAAAATTTCACGTTTTTCGGAATGTCTATTGTTTGAGGCCTACGGCCCATCGGTGGGCTTAAGGACCGGGCCCAAAACCCAGCCCATTAGTGGGTTGGGCTTTGGGCTTTGTGGGATTTGCGGAGACCTAAATATGTCCATACATCCATACATCCTAACTTGAAACAATAAATCTTTCTTTCCAAGATTCCTTTTTGGTTAAATATATGTATATAGTTAATATTAAAGTTTATGGATGGCGGTGAGTAATATACCATTGGAGTACTAGGCAAGGTTCAAAGGTCTCCAAGCCTTGACGTGAAAAGACAACATTCAGGGCAATGAAACCCTCTGTATAGAATTTTAGACTGGAGTGGCACAATGATTGTCATTCAAATGATTATAGTATTGACTGCAGGCCTCTTTGGTGGTCTAATACTGGCGTCCCCTTCCCATTCAGTGTCGCGTTCGCCGATAATCGACTTGGAGTATTCTCAGTATCGGGGCATTTCGTTGTCCAATGGTGTTGATCAATACCTTGGGATGAGATACGCAAAGTCACCCTTAGGTGGCTTGCGATTCCGTGGCCCGGAAGATCCAGAAGATACTGTTGGGGTGTTGGATGCATCATCGGTAAGACTGCTATCCACCCTGCCTCTAGCGCATTGAACTGATTTAGATAGTTCGGGCCCCTTTGCGTGGGGGTTGGAGAATCAATCAATGATTCTTTAGCAGAGGACTGTTTATTTATCAATGTCTGGCGGCCAACGAATGCCAGTGCGCATTCCAACATCCCTGTCTGGCTGTTCATTCAAGGGGGTGGATACGCCAACAATTCGAATGGCAACTATAACGGCAGCGAAGTCGTTCAGCAGTCCGGTCACAACATTACCTTTGTCAACTTCAATTACCGCGTTGGTGCCCTTGGATTCCTTGCCAGTGAGAACGTGCGAAAAAATGGAGATCTCAATGCTGGACTACTCGATCAGCGGAAGGCACTCCATTGGGTTCAGAAACACATTCGCAACTTTGGAGGTAACCCAAACCATGTAGTCATTCACGGTGACTCTGCCGGTGCAGGCTCGGTTGCCTATCATCTCACCGCGTATGGTCAACGCAATACAACCCTTTTCATTGGCGCAGTGGCAGAGTCGCCATTCTGGCCTACTCAAAGAACAGTTGCACAAATGGAGTTCCAGTATGACCGATTTGTGAAGGATGTTAGCTGTCACAAGGCAAAGGACTCCTTGGCATGCTTGCGTTCTGTGGATATTAAAACGCTCCAAAAGTACAACATCGACAAGCCATTCCCAGCGGGCAGTCCCACTCCAATTCCCCGGTGGTACTTTCTTCCTGTTATGGACGGAGACTTGATCCGGGACCACCTTTACAATCTGTTCAGTGGAGGGAAGTTTATTCATGTGCCCTTATTAGTCGGGGATGAGACAAATGAGGGCACCGAGTTTGCGTACAATGCAAGCAGCAAGTCCGAAGTGGCCCAGTTCATGAAGAACAATTATCCCGGACTTTCTCATACCCAACTTGATACCATCAACAAGGCATACGAGCATGTAGAGCCCCTTCCTAAGCACGCGGCTTATTTTGCATCGGCTGCGGGCGCTTATGGAGATTCGACCTTCACTTGCCCAGGCAACTTCATGACTACAGCGATGGCTGCATCATTCTTGTCCCACCGCGTCTGGAATTATAGGTACAATGTCCGCGACCGCACAAAAATTGCAAATGGGATGGGTGTTTCTCATGTATTCGATTTGCCTGCGATTTTTGGGATAGGGGAAACCAGTGAGCCAACCTATTCATATGCCAGCTCCAACGCAAATATCGTGCCCATCACCATGAACTACTACTTAAGCTTTATCAAAGTCTTAGACCCCAACATTTACCGGTACAAAGAAGCCCCCGAATGGCAACCATGGGGTTCAGGGGCTGGGAACCGACTCAGACTTGAGACAAATTCGACAGCGATGGAAGCTATTCCCAGCTTGGAGGTTGAGCGTTGCTCAATGTGGAAGAATTTCGCAGCAAACATGCAGCAATGAGTTAATACGGTGCCTAGAGGATTCGTGCCACTTCCCTCGCCAACTTTGGGGTCATCTATCATATGAAAATCAGCAATGATACAAAGTATTGGAAAGGCATTGTAGGCACATATGTTACTATGCCTATTCATTAGACCTCCATCGACATTTCAATTAACGACTTTCTTACGAGTCGTGAGAACAAATTCTTTTTCTCCTTCGCAGTCTAGCTTGTTTCGCAGGCACAGTCCTAGGAGCTTCCGGAATCTGTGAAAGCTCTTTCCTGCATTTTATTTGCCTTTCATTGTACACACTTTTATTTGCCTGTCTTGTTGGTTGGGTCTTTGTCCACCAAGAAATAGTCAACCCAATGTAGATTCCCAGCACTAAGGCAAGCGACTCGTATGATCTTCGCCCGTTGATCAGGGCCAAAGATAAAGAAACAATAACATAGATGGAGAAAAGGGATAGGCTCGCTTACCACGCTGTTCAATTCCTGCTTCATGTAGATTTTCTAAGCCTTCCAGCAATTTTCTAGCAGCACACATGCGACCAGCCATGGGCTTTTTTTTCCAAGTCAATAGGGTAAATGCATCTAAAGACATGACTCTAGGGGCCACATCCCCCCTGTGCTGAAGATCATGAGCCACCCAGATGGTAGAGCCGCCGCCAAAACCGAGTTTATGCTTGGCCAGATATCTCCCATTGAGAAATTCCATAAGATAAATGGGATAAAAAAACGTTACGTTTTCTTTATATCATATTTATGCCAGAGTTCGACGACGTATTCGAGATCAACCTGCTCGCCTTCATTGTTCACAAAGTCTTGAAGCCTGGGGCATCATCAGGGAGAGTCAAAATTTAGCCATTCCAGGCGAATATTTTTCAAAGGCAAATATATCTAGGGACTAGGGGGCGGGATATGACGTCGAGATCGGTGCGTCAAGAGTTGATTCCTTTTGGTTCCGGCCCGACCTATTGCCGACCCCGCATTTACTGGGTCTCCCAATCAGAGTAAGCCGAGCGGCTTGGGTCTCCCTTCCTCCTTTCGATCCACACCCATGTATCGTTTCTCAGTGAACCTAAAGAAAATCAGCTCAATTCCTCCTCGATTATCACACCACTCCCATAATAAGAGTTTTACGGCCTACCAGCATCTCAGCATCTCACGACTTGGTCATGTGGAGCCCCCTCCCATTGCATCCATTTTGGCTCAGTGGTTCAAATGAACCAAACCCTCCGTCTCCGAACCACGAGTCCATAAAGACAAATTGAGCACGACCTAGACGCTCACGGAGACCAATATCGAGACTCAACTTTAAATTCATAGCGCATACTGGAAGGAGTAGCGCTTTGCTGTTTCCTGGTCACTAGTACCACTTGCAGGCTTCGCAATGAGAAGGACCAGTACGTTCGCCGGGCGCGAGTCTCCCAGGCGA